CTTCAGGCCAGTGGTCACTCTTAATTTTTCTAAGTCCCTAACTTTTATTTTAAAATAATTTTTATTTCATTTGCATTGGTATTTTGCCTGCATGTATGTCTGTGTGAGGGTGTCACGGTTACAGACAGGTGTGAGCTGCCATGTGGGTGGTGAGAATTGAACCCCGGTCTTCTGGAAGGGCCATTTCTGCAGCCCCATCCCTTCCTAACTTCCTTCCCTCTTCATTGAACTCTGTTTCGGCTCTATTACCCCTTTTGTGCTTCTCCTGCACTTGGCCTGTACAAACTTTAGCTGGTGTCCAGACTTATGCTAAAGAAAAGCCACAGAACTACCTCTGCCGCTTGCTCCACAATCTGCAACAATTGTCACCCCACCCAAAAAAACAAAACAAACAAACAAACAAACTGGCTTCCTTACTCAAGAAACAGGCCCACCAGGCATGTGTCTCTGAAACTCTTTGCCCTGAACACTGATCTTTAGAAGCAAACACATCCATCACACCAGGTCTAATCCCCTCAACGAATGCTGGGCCCATTTTTCAGGTGAGAAAAATGGAAGTTACAGAGTTATTACGCTTGCCTAAAGCTACACAGCTCATTGGAGATTGGCCATTCTGGGCACACTACTAATATGTCAATTACGACACTAAACTGTCACAGAAATGGACATATCAATAAGGAAATTCATCAGGCTAGCCACTGTTTTAGAAGACACATGTTTATTGCATAATAGGGCTCGGGAGAAATGGGGTTACATATCTGGTTACTACACTGTCAGCTGAGAGGCATTTCCAGGATAAGAACATAGCAACCTATTGCTAGCCTGAAGCCAGGTTGCCTGGGTTCAAATCCTAGGCAAGTGACAACTAAGCTGGTTTCTTATTTCAAAGGAATGGCTCATTTCAAATGTGTATGCATATGATATGATCACAGAACTTAGTGGAGTAACTGGTAACACTTAAATATGCAGTCAGTGCTAGAAAGGATTCTGTTCTCGGCACCAGGTGCTGCTTTGGTGTCTTTGACCTACTCTACAAGTCACACTGTAAACTCCTGGAGCATGTGAAGGGTTGATGCAAGCCACACAGACTTGGATTTGGACGTTAGCAGCACCATTTTCTACCCATACATCTCACAGACTTGCCATGAGGGATGCAGGTGCTGCCTTCCTAGAACCTGGCACTTTGTACATGGATGCCAGACTGCAGTGGCTGCAATGCAGCTGGGCAAGTTGGAAGGAGAGGAGTGCCTAGGACCCATGCAGAAATAGGAATGCCGGGAAGGGGCCCCTAGCTACTGCTTTGACTAATTGGGGAAAGTCACTGAAAGTGACACAGCACTGATCTTTGCCACCAGCTGATCTTATGCCTCAACGCCCTAGCTCTGGCCACAGAATCCAGACAAAGTGGCATTTGGGAATGAAAATGTCCAGGGATTGCACTAACAGTCACTGCACCTGATAAGAAGGCCCAGAGGGGAGGCAACGTGCAGTCACACAGCAAACTGGCAGCCTCCTCAGCTGCGGTTCCAGTGTTTCTTTGCGGTACCCACGCTGTACTTTGGGGGATTCTGGGCACTAAGACTGTTAAAAGCATCACTCTACATGACATGGCCATGGTAGCAAGGGCATAGGAAGTGTGCTGCACTGAACAATCTGTGCCCCTTAGGGGACAAGACATAATAATAGGAAGGACAGTATGAAGAGACTGACACATGGAAAGTTGTCTTATGAAGTATATCTTCTTGCAGCTGTGGACAGAACACAGTAGTTCCAACAGATGGATTCTTATGACCTGGTGTCGACAGGAATGGGGTATGTCTAGCTTATGCTGATTTAAATATACAGAAAATGCCATGTTAGCAAGAGATAGCTCAGGTGGATATAGACATTTGCCTTGCCACTAAGTTGGGTGGCCTGGTTTGGACTCCCAGACCCTACATGGTGGGACAACTCAGTCCTGCAATTTGTCCTCTGACCTACATCCACATGCATGCTATGAGACACCCACCCCAACCACACTCAAAAAAATGCAAAAGATAAAGCTCTAGGATATTAAGCAGGGAATGACTGCCACAACCTTACTAATACCAGATCACAAAGACTATGGATAATGGCCTGGGTCTATTAAAAGCAAAATGTACTGAGGTAAAAACATAACTAATAGATTCAATTAGCTAATTGATAGATTTGGCCAGTAGAAATTTCTGTCTTCTATCTTGAGTCTCCCGGAGTGCTAGGATCAACCCATATTTTAAGATTAGAACTTGGAGCCAGGTGGTGGTGGTATGCACCTTTAATCCCAGCACTCAGGAGGTAGAGGCAGGCAGATTTCTGAGGCTGAGGCCAGCCTGGTCTACAGAGTGAGTCCCAGGGCAGTCAAGGATACACAGAGAAACCCTCTTTCAAAAATCTAAAGGAAAAGAACCTTGGGCCAGTGAGATGGTTCATTGGGTAAAGCACTTGCTATGCAAACCTGATAATGTGACTTTGGTCCTTGGAACACAATGTAAAGGTAGGAGGAGAGAACTGATTCCACAAACACACTGTAGCATACATGTTCCCATGCTCCATGATGATGGAAGCCAAAAATTATGTAGGCATATCATGACATAGGTAGTTACAGCAACGCAATGAAGAAATACACACATAAGAGCATACAAACTGCCTCAGATTTATAAAGAAAGGAAAGGGGGAAAAGTTACAAGTTGAGAAGTTGTGTCAGTTGTTAAAGTGTTGGCCTCTTAAGCTTAAGACCTGAATTTGGTATTGAGCTCCCCCTTAAACCTTGAGATGTGCTAGACTCATAATTGGAACTTCAGTGTTAGGGAGGGGGAGATGAGCATATCCCTGGAGCTTGTTGCGCCAGATTACCCTGATCAGTAAGTCTCAGGTCTCAGTGAGAGACTCCATCTCAAAAAAATAAAGCGAAGGGCTCCTGAGGAATGACACATAAGACTGATCTCTGGCTTTCATATGTATATACACGTGTGCATACCACCACACTCACATCTATACACACATGTACATATATGTCCCCCATAAGAGTTGCAGAAAATGTTTTCATCAGAGCAAAATACCAAATGTAAGGGTTAAAAGGGCCAGGGGTAGAGGGAATTGGTTGCTTTCTAGAGAAAGTTTTGAAACAAGGCGGCGGGGATGGTTGCACAACCTCGTGAGTAAATACTTGGGTTAAAACGGTGACTTCAAACTGGATGAAATGGCTCAAACCTGTGGCTACCTGGGAGGCTGAGCCAGAAGGCAGCTTGAATTCCTAAGTTCACAACCACACTGGCAACACAAGATCCAGACTCAACTAACTGGATTGTAATGAAGATATGATTATATTATTTCCTGTAGTTAAAAAAAAAAAAAAAAAAACACACAGCAAAAAACCTACCTTAACAATGGGCCTTAGTTATAACAGCTTAAGTGGTAAAGAATAAAGACCAGGGTTCTGCTAGGCTGTGGTGGCACACGCCGTTAATCCCAGCACTGGGGAAGCAGAGGCAGGTGATCTCTGTGAGTTAGAAGTCAGCATGGTCTATAGAGTTCTAGGACAGCTGGGTCTACACTTGAGAAACCCTGTCTCAGAAACTAAAGCAAATAAAGAAACAAACACAACGATCATAGTTTGAAGGTACATTTTTCTGCTCTAAACTTGGGACTCTGCTAAAGCTCCAACTAGATGAATAGGTAAAGATAAAGATGTGATTGTTCCAATTGCCAGTGGCCTGCATTCATAGCTCGCTTGACACTTGGTATCACCTTTATTTTATGTCACCACCAGTGCATTTCTATTATAACAAAACCAAAGTTTGTTTTATGTGAGACATTTATTTCATATGGCACATACTTAACAGAAAGTATTTCAGCACGTGACATTTGTATAGAAAAGTATCAGAAGCTCATCTTTTAGAATGATTTCCTTTTGCTGTCTACATTTAAGAACCAGTATTTAAAAATAGATTTTAAACCTGAGGCATCCTGCTCTAATACATAACAAAAGTCTCGAAGGGACCAGGCATCAGAAAATGTAATTATTCTTTTTGGGAATCCAAGATTGGTGGCAATTGGCCTATCTTAAACCATTTGTGAGTCAACAATGAGGCTTGTTCGTGTTACAGCAAGAAATGTAGGAATCACATCACCTCTGTGTGTAGATAAATGTGCAAATGCACGTGTTTATGTCCAAGCACCTGACACTGGGATTGGAGAATAGCACTGTTCTTCACTTGTTGCAAGCACCTAGGAAAAGAAGCAAACACATTTTGCTTCTATGTCCCAAGCCTGAGTATATACTGAAGCACAAGCCTGGGAGGCAAGGCAAAAACAAAGCAAAACAAACAAACAAAAAAACCAAAACCAAAAGCTCTGAGTACACAATATTTAAAGGAATTGATCATACTCTGTGAGACAACAGCCAGGTACTGTTGCAACAGAATGCACATTTTGTGTATAAACTGCTCTAGGTACTGCGACATGAAACAATGACAGCATGAAAAAATATTGATGGACCAAGCTTCCATTTTCTGGTTCTGACATTTGGAGATAGAGTTCCTCACACAATGTTATGCTCTCTATGACATCAGATTGTTTCTAGTTGTTGAAGTAGTGCCACTTTGAACCAGAATCAACTACTTTATGTCAAATAGATCCTGGAATAGAGACACTCCTCTAGTAGGATTTTTTTGGGTGAGGGACTGAAAATGATCATTTAACGAAAAGATCTTTGAGGCATTCATTGGCATACACCAATTGGTAGAAACTCAAGAAAGAGACAATAGAGACTTTTTCCCCCAAGGAAAACAGAGACCTCTTTACTTAAAACTCTCACTAGAGAACAAGGTGATAGTAACATTTTCTTAAGTAGGTGTTGAGGTGACGATTGGATGGGGTTGTTTGTTTTCCTTTTTCTTCCTTTTTTCGATGGTAATTTCCTTTGCCAGTTTCAAGTATGAAGGAGACAATTTTGAGTCTTGGCCTTGAGAGTTTTAATATAGAGTAGAAGATGATTAATCCCCAAGACTCCATAGGGTTTACACATCTAGCAAGGTAGAAAAGAAAAGATTAGTAAAGTGGGTGCTTATAGTGTCATGGTAACTCACCCTAGCTTTCCTTTGGGGTGACTCCCCAAACAAGCCCTCTTAACATTCTGACACCTTGGTGCTCTTCTTTAAATGCTCCCCACATCAACACCTGAAGAACGCATACTTTTTGGCCGGGGGAGGGAGGGTGGCCTTAGTGTGTGTGTGTGTGTGTGTGCTGCACGTGTGTATGCATGCTTTTGTCCTGGCGAGTGTGGAGGCTTTTTTTTTTAAATACAGGGCCTCACTGAATCTGGGAATGACTGTTTACATACACCGGCTGTTCAGCAAACCTCAGGGGTCCTCCAGTCCCCGCCTCCCCAGTGCTAAGATTACACCTGGCTTTTGACATGGGAGCTAGGGCTCAAACAATCCTAAAGGTTGTCCCCACAACCATCTTCCCAACCCTGATAACTTCTTGAATCGGCAAACAATAGCCCTTTGGTTTGGTGAACACAGGGTGAAAGACAGATTGTAAAGATCTGCTCTCTGTTCTCCACTGTTCTTGCTTGGTAGCCAGAGTAGCAAGTGCTCAGGGGAAGCCAGATTTTGAAAAGAACTTATATTTTGTATGTGGCAGGAGATGCAGAGTGTAGAAATCCTTATCAAATTGCATATTCTTTCAAATGTAACTTAATGGAAAATTCCTCTAGATCATTCCCACAGACTCACCACTATCTTCTTCCTCTCCCCCAAAGGCCATTTTGGAGCCTTCACAAGCAAAGGGATTTGTGAGATCAGTTGCTCTCCCTGAAATGTGAAGGTGAGACAAAACCTTCGTCAACGGAGTAGAAACAGGTTTGCCTCGTTTCTTGTGGTCCAAAGGGACCTGAGCACCTTGGCAAGTTGTCACAGAATCCTTCAAATTTTGTTTGTTGCTAGCAGCAGTGGTCTTTTTGACAGGTGATTCAGTGGTGTGACCAAGATCTACAATTTTGTCACAAACCCACTCCTGATTGGTGGTGACACTTAGAGAAGAACGGATGGTGGAGTTGGCTTCCCTTGTTTTTCTGCTTCTCGATGTCCTGGCAGGTGGTTTTCTAGTGGGTATCCTGGAATGAAATTTTGTAGTGAGAACCCTGGCTATTCCAAACACCATGAAAGGAGCTTTATTATCTAACTTCTCAGGAGGTTTTTGGATATACTAAAACAACTTTCCACATCCTAGAGTGAGAAGGCTTGGAAGAGACCATATAGATCATAGAACATGCTGGCATTCAAATTGTATCTTAGACAGTGCTAAGGTGCCCTGGAAATACCAGGGCACAAGAGCATCTGAGCATACCCAAACCCAGGAACTGTAGGTGTGTACATGCACGCGTGTTTCTGTGTGTGTGTGTGTTGAAGATGACAAAGGAGGATACTTGATATTCTGCTCTACCACTTTCTGCCTGAGCCCAGAGCTAAACTGGCAGCCTGCAAGCCCTAGAGATTGTCTTGTTTCTAGCTCCAAATCCCATCATCACTGAGGGTTAGGGCATGTGGCCACACCTGGCTTTTCTTGTGTGATGTGGGATTTGAACTCTGATCCTCATGTTTGCACAACAAGTGCTCTTACCCACTGAGCCATCACTCCAAAGCCCTATTGCCTCTCTTAAAGTCAGTTAAGGACACAGATGGTAAGAAACAACTAGAGAACTGGTGCAAGAGTTGAGTGTGGTGCCCCCTTTGAGCTGGAACCAGAACCTAGTCTCTTAGCAGACAACTACTCCAGTGGACCTCGGAGCTTTAGAATTGTTTAGGTTATCATCTGGGCAGTGTTCCTTTTCAACAAATAATTCTACTCTCCAGGGGGGGGCCCGGGGGTTGTGTACCCAAATGGGAAAGGGGGGGGGGGGAGTGGGGGGGGGGGGAGAGGGGAAAAAAAAAGAGGGGGGGTTTTTTTTTTTGGATGATGGGGGAGAAATGGAAGAAGGGAAGGGGGGGCGGGGGGGGTGGGGGGGGGGGGGGGGGGGGGGGGGTGGGGAAGGGGGGGGGGGGGGGGAGGGGGGGGGGGGGGGGGGGGTGGGGTTTTGGGGTTTAGGGGGGGAGGAAAGGAGGGGCGGGGTGTAATTTGGGAGGAGGGGGGGGGGGGGGGGGAGGGGGGTGTTTTGTGGGAAAAGTATAAGGGGCCCGGGGGGGGGGGGGGGGGGGGGGGGGGCGCGGGGGGGGGGGGGGGGGGGGGGGGGGGGGGGGGGGGGGGGGGGGGGGGGAGGGGGGGGGGGGGAGGAAGGCATGTGTGACTAGGAGGATTGAGCCTGGTTAGGAATGGAAAATAGGAAAAGAGAGAGAGACAGAGACAGAGAGAGAGAACATAAAAGGGGAGCCAATATTGGTTTGAAGATAAAGTTGAACACAAAGAAAGGTCGAGGGAACTACAAGACTGCTCCCAACTAACAATCTCAGCTTCCGTGGAAAGGCTATCATAAATGCCCTTCCCGGAGAGTGAGATCAACAACTAACTTCTCCATGGAGTCCTCAACTAATGCCTGTTGAAAACAGGAGCAAACACCCATACATAAACACTGAGTCAAACTAGAACCCAGAAGCAGATGGAGAGGACAAGACCATGCGGTAGAAGTACATAGAGACAGCTTACCTGAACAAAGGAGGAGCTAAGGGCCACTAGACTGATAGCTGGGAAGCCAACAGAGGTCTGACTCGGACTCCCCTGAATATGGGTCTCAGCCAGAAGGTCTGAGCAGTCTAAGAGACCTCAGACAGTGGAGCCAGGATGTATCCCTGGTGCACAAAGGACTTTGCAAACATATCCCCCATGGAGGGATAACTGCCTTATTCTAGAGATAGGAGAGAAGCCCTAGTCCCTACTTCACAGGACCTGTCAGATCTACATGACCCCAACTGGATGGCATTCCCCTACATATTGTATTGTGGTGGGGGGTTGGGAGGGGAGGGTGTTTAGAGTGCATGGGAGAGGGTAGAGAGGGCAAAAGGGAGGGAAGGAGGGAGGGAGGGCTTGGGGGGGAGGGAGGGAGGGAGGGAGAGGGAACTGGGATCGACATGTAAAATAATAATAATAAAAAAAAAAAAAAAAAAAAAAAAAAAACGCTTTGACTCCAAAATTTAAGTTGAAGAACAAGTTACTGGGGAAAAGTATTTCTATTTTTGTTTCCACAGAAAATGAAAAGATGTGGATTCCTTCCAGACTAATGTGGTTTGATCACACCAGACCGCCTGAAACAGAGTACAAGCTGATCCTACATTCCAAACAGCTGGACAAAACAGCCCTACAGACTACAGCTAGGATATCTGAATCTTCTTCGAATCCCCCAACAAGGCAGCGCCCCTTACCAGCAGGAAGTAGTTTGGAAAGAGCAGCCCAAATTCCCAAATATTGTGTATAAATGTTTGTTTTCATTTAATTGGACTTTGTTATATAAAATTAAATAAAAAATACTCTATATGCAAAAAAAAAAAAAAAAAGAAACCACAGCCATTCACCACACAAACACAAGCAATTTGGTGTCAGATGAATGTGGGTTTGAATTTGGCAAATAAAACCTAAATCCTCTCTGTGGCCCAGTTTGTTAGTCTGTAGAAGATGGGGTTGCTAGGCGGTGGTGCACGCCTTTAATCCCAATACTCGGGAGGCTGAGGCAGGCGGATCTCTGTGAGTTCAAGACCAGCCTGATCTACAGAGTGAGTTCTAGGACAGCCAGGGCTACACAGAGAAACCCTTTTTCAAAGAAACAAAACAAAACAGATGAGGGGATAATTCTGACCCAGCAAAACTTCTGTGGGAACTATTTTGTTTCTGTTAAGTAGGGCACTTACTTGACATAATGTTTGATATATGCAAACTAAGTGCTCAAGCAGTAATATATATTTCTGAGGATTCTAAGAATGTCATTCACACTTCTCCCACAAAAAAAAAGTGCTAAGTGGACTCACTTAGAGCCCTTTGCTTGAGTTGTAGTGTCATTTGGGTCATTTTGTTTGACAGCTTTCACGTTTCCATTAAAATATATATTCTTCTCGGCATCAATCTCACCAGATCCTGCTTGCAGAAACACTAGCTTTTGAGGCCTTCTCTTGGAATTTTTGTGAAACTTTTTGACTTTGGTAAATGGTGCTTTCATTCCTGGAGAGTGGAGAAGATAATTAAAGATGGAATTTCAACAACAAACAAATCAAAACCTCTGATCCTAGTGTGTTAGGATTGGGAGGAGGGTGTCCCTGCCCAAAGCAAGAAAGGCCAGGCAGGCAACGCTCTGAGGCCGGCATATACATGCATTTGCCTGACTCTTAATTCACTGGTGGTGATGGGAAACACATCTTTAAGGGATTTCTTTGCTAATATAGGTTGATGGGTCAAAGGCCAGGATTATTCCTTGTTCCTGCCCTTGCACTGTTCCTTTTTTGAGTCTGGTTTGACTGCAAATGTCCTTATTGCCCCTCCTCTGACTCAAAAGCAGATCCAGGGGCTCGAGTCACTGTGCTCTGACTACATTTTCACAATAATCGCTTCAGTAGTAGCACTGTTGGCTTCCGTGTGTAACCATGAGGGATAAGCAAACCTGATGGAAGTATCTCAAGGGAGCCCTCATCACTTTCTGTTTCACCTTCATCATCAGCTTCATCCTCTTCAGATCTATCGGCTATTTCCGAAGCCTGTGGTTAGGAGAGAAAGCCGAGGCTTATGTATTTAATCGCCCTGTTTTAGAATTCAAAGCAAGAAAAGACTAGAGTGATGGCTAATTTTTGACATTTTGAATAAAAGGTAGAAAAAATAAACCTGATCTCTTTAACTGACCTCATGATGGGCAGGTGGCCTTAATTCTGTCATTCAGCTAGAGGGACACTTGAGAATGAACTGGTTCCTTGAACAAGAGTGCAGAGCCTACAGCCCATTCATCCCCTGCTCAGGATGCTAGTGAAGCCAGGGTGAGAAGAGTCAGCAAAGACAAGAGGAACTCAGAGCACCTGCTGATGTGAAAGGCCTTGGGCCATTGAGTAGAACTAGCTTTGAGGTGGTGACTCCAGAAATGACATTTCCATCAGACATTGTCCTGCTCTTCGATGGTGGCTGGGGATTAGTATGACCATTAAAAAGAGCAATTTCTAACTGAAAGTGAATGGCTCAGAATGTAGGGAAAACAAGCCTTGTGTGCATGTGCTGTTTTCAGAAAACGTGCCAGGAGAGGCAAATAGAAAACAGATGCTAAAAGCCATCACCACAGGGGTATGGTCTAAATTAATTTGCTGCACTGAAGAGCTCTGGTTCATCAAAAGATACTAAAAGATAGGAACGGATACCTCCAACGGACTCTTACTTAGATTAGGTAAAAACTGTAAATGAGCAAGAAATAGCAGATGAGAAAAGTGGATGCCCACGTGTTCAGTAAATGTATAAAAAGTGATAGGGTTACCGGAAGATGTTGATAAATTCAACATTCACATCAGGGTCTTTTCCCCAGCAGAAAATGACAGTAAGACTAGGTACAGATTGAGAGAGGAGAGAGCTACAGATATAAAAACAACAAAAGCAAGGTCTAGAACATTCAAGGAACTATCTAAAAATTAGGAAAAAGACAAGTCAACCCCAGCATTTTAGGTAAGAAGATCTAAGCAACATTTCACACAGGGAGAAGAAGAAAGCAAACTAGAGACAGAGCCAAGTTCTGGGCTTTTAAGGATCGGGAAAACACAAACATGACAGACACCATGCTTCATTACCACCAGGCTGGTAAAAATGAGGAGATGCCAAGAGCAGGAAGCAAGAGGAAGTCATAGATATTCTGGTAGGAGTGGAGACTACCTTGGAGGGATTCACATCTGTCTTCCTTGTCCGCTTCATTATTTCCTCAACCCTCTATTCAAAGGGAAATAAAAATGAAAATGTAAAAGAGATTAAAACAAAAACAAAAACAAAAAACAAATCAAAAAAAAAAAAAAAAAAAAAACAGTGGCCCCAAAACAGGTGACTGATCCATTTTGCAGCAGGCAATGCCTGTGATTGTCCCCAAACTCCAGACTTAACAAAAATCTCAGGGCAGCAGTTGGGTGCCTCTTCTGTCCCAGATTTCAGTTATAAAGTTCTGTGAATGGCAGTGATTGTTCTTGCTATCACAACACAAAAACCCAAATGGCAATTTCATGTTCTAATTTTCACAGTTAGACTATTTTCGTCAGCTAGACTAAGCACATTGCATTGCTAACTACTCGGAACTCTTAGACCATGGCAGAGGCAAACATACATTTAAACAATGTACTTCAATGCATGTTCTAAGAGATCTTGTTCCTAAACCAACAGAAGGCTGAGGAAGGATGCACTCCAGGGAGGGGGGATGAGAATTCTCTCTACTGCTTAAGGCGAGGAGAACTCTGGGTTGCTGGATGCCTCAGGGTGACAGAGACCTGGCCAGGCAGGGATTCCTAGATGAAGCACATGAAGTTGCATAAAATGAGGTCCTACCTTACAAACAATGCAAACACTGGCCTTTCCAAGAGGCATCACTAATTCCCACCACATGTAGTGCCAACTCAGCCCAGTTTAGAAGAAACTCTAACTTCCACTATCCTCTGTTAACCCGGACTCATCCTGCTAAAAGGAACGTTGACCCTACAGGTTTGAGATATTGAAACTTGGCTATAATGTCAACCGTGAGGTACAAATACCACCAAAAAGAGGACAGTGCTGTGCAGAAGTCAGCACTTTAGATAAGCAACCACAGTGGGCAGATAGCCGGGAACTAACACATACTTGATTGAGGATTTTCAGAAAAATGTGTTGATAACTTCCTCCCATCATTAACGCAAAGCACATGAAACAGTGTTACCTTTTTCCTTTCTAATCTTTCTTGCAAATTTTGTAGCATAATTCTTTCCTGTTCCATCTTTCTCTTGTCAGCACTGTCCTGAGATTTCATCATGGCATTGTCCCCTTTCTAGGAAATTTGTTCAAGAAATATAATCAATTTCAAAATATGTCGATGACAAGAAATTTTTAGCTTAAAAAATAAATACTCGCAAGCTTGGTGGCCATTTATAATCCATATTCAAAGCCTTGTTAAAAAGCACAGATTGAGGCTAATGTTATTTGAAATGTTTCAGATATCAAGGTTACCCTTCTGAACAGGGCCTACCTTACTTTAATTCAGTCATCTCAGCCTTCCTAAAGCTGTGACCTTTAATACAGTTCCTCATGTTGAGATTAAAACTGGGAATATCGGAAATAGTTTGGAAAGAACAACGCCCAAATTCCCAAATATTGTCTATAAATGTTTGTTTTCATTTAAAAAATAAATAAATAAAAATAAAACTGGGAATATCAATTGGCTTATGGCAATGTGGGTTTTGGAGACTGTAATGTCAAAGTGCAGCCAGAGAATGCTGTGTCTGTTCAGTGGCCCAGATGGCTACTTTGCATTGCAACTGCACTTTCTAAGCAGCTTCTCTTGTATAGCAGAAGTGGCAAGGCTACAAACCTGTAGCTGTTCTTTCTGGTCTTCTGCTGGCTCAAAACGTCTCTTTGTCAGATCTTTTTGTTGCTCATCTTTGTGTGGTGAGAATTCTTCTGCTGGGACTTCATCCATTCTCTCTGCCATACATTCTGATTTTCTTGCAACACTGAGGGTTATTTAAATAACTTTGGTATTTACTTATCTGCTAACATACAGAGTTTACAGGAGTATGGGAGCATTTATGGTGAAATTGTTTGGGTATATTAATATAATTACATTTATGGAAGATGTACTATATTTTCTGGAGTTCTTACTATCCAAGAGTTATATGTTACCCCCCACCACCCATTTTTGGTTTTTCAAGACAGGGTTTCTCTATAGCTTTGGAGCCTGACCTGAAACTCACTCGGCAGACAAGTCTGGCCTCGAACTCACCTAAATATGCCTGTCTCTGCTTCCCTAGTTCAGGGAGCATGAGCCACCACTGCCTGGCACATGTCACCCCTTTTAAATGAGGCCTTTGGGTATGCCAAAGGATTTCTCACAAGTACCAGACTACTTTACACATGGATACATATGCAAGAGAAAAACAGCCAGCCTTTATGTTAGAGACACACCCTCTGAGGTCTTTTTAAATATGAGCAAACCATCACCTAGGGATGACAAGGTCTAATGATGTGACAGTATTCAGTGCTTCCAAATGCTAAATTAACTTGGTTTGCAGAAGACAAGGAACAATAATTTCCAATTTATAAATCTCTTGCTTTTTAAAGTATCTCCTTTCCCTTTTTTACCAAGCAACTATACTTTAAACACTTGATACGTGTTAATAAAGCCAGTACTATATAGTATTTCTTGACCGCAGTGGATAGGGATTTACATTATAAGATACAACATAAAATAGCTGGGACATGAAATGTGTTGTCAAGTACACCTTCTAGGACTAATTAATTGTCCTAGACCCTGATGACATAGAGATGAATCTCAGTATCTGTTTCTGTTTGTACAAGCCCCCCCCCACCAACCCTGTCCCTCTGTCTTTCAAGTGAAGGCACACAGTAATATGTGATTGTCTAGGTACTGCTACTGAGATTGTGTCCTGGATATGACCTTAGTTTCTTTCTACATTGTCCTAGCACACCTTAATTGTGCTGGATGTATGGAAACTGAAAAGGATTAGCACTCTACTCAGCCAGTTATAACACCTAAGTGTTTTCTACCCTCCCCCCCCCCAGGTGGAAGTGTTGAGACAGGGTTTCTCTGTGTACAGTCCTGTCTGTCCTGAAACTTGCTCTGTAGACCAGGCTGGCCTCAAACTCACAGAGATCCACCTGCCTCTGTCTCCTGAGTGCTGGGATTAAAGGCGAGCACCACCACTGGGCTGTTCTTCCTTCCTTTTTTTTACTTGCCTAGAAATCAACGATTCACTTCTCACCAGAGAAAAAGTTAATTACTGTTTTGAAACTTAGAATTTGAGGGCAAATTTTAAAGTTTGGACCCCGCCAAGGTTTAGGGATAGAAAGGGTTATTCTGTGTTCACCTTTGTTTTGTCTCTTTCTGGATTTTTTCTTTGTCTTGTTTGCCTTGTTGTTCATAAGCAGCATGGTGTACCTCAATTGAAACTTTCATGGCCGCTTCACTGCTTGGCACACTTTTATTACCAGATTCTAGTTTGACGAGACATATGAAACAATTGATTAGGGAAACAATTTCCTCTCAAACCCACAAAGAAATAAATGAGTTACCCCAAACATTAAAAAAAAAGAGCACAAACCAAAATTAATCACATGCTACTAAGGGGAATTGTTCAAAATGGCAACTCCTTCCTAATAAAAGAATTAGCCAAGCATTGGTGGCGCATCCCTTTAATCCCAGCACTAGGGAGGCAGAGGACGGTGAATCTCTATGAGTTCGAGGCCAAACTGGTCTACAGAACGAGTTCCCAGTAATGGCTCCAAAATAATAGAGAAACCCTGTCTCAAAAAACAAAACAGAACAAACAAACAAAAGAGAATTAACGTGTTGTCTCTTTCAAACACGTGCATATTCAAATATTCAACATCAATGATGTACTTCTACTTTGGCTTAACTATTTACAGACAGGCAAATCAAGGACTCTGAGGGAAGATTAAAATATACTGAAGCCAAATTTATGCCTGATTCAAATGAAGAGTAAATATCTTGAACACTTAACCAATCATGTTATATCTGGAATTTGTGCATCATTTTATTGCTGCTTACCTAAACTTTGATATCTCTATATACATGTGCTTATCATACAGTGGTAGCTGTAGGTAACAAAAGAAGCCATGACTATCATTAAAAGAAGGATTTTTTGCATGGATCTCTCTCTCTCTCCCATGCACACACATGCACTGATTTGTGCTGTATCTATGTTAACACTGTTGCCTGTAACATGCATTTTTACATGTCAATGATACTTGGTCTAAGAAGTTACACAATGCATAAATATACACATACACACACTATATATAAATATATATGTATGTACATACATATATACACACACATATATATATACATATATAGTATATACATATGTATATACATACATACATACACACATATATATTCTCACTATCTGCTGTCCTGAAACACACTATGTAGACCAGGCTAGCCACGAACTCACCTGCTTCTGCCTCCTGAGTATAGGGATTAAAGCTGTGCACCTTCATGCCTGGCTCAACATGAAGGCATATTATAATATTTAGTTTATATAGCTAATTTTGTTGTTTTTGATAAACTATGTAGAAATGAAAATTCTCTGGACACCAAGAGTGACTAATTTGTAACAAAAAGATCACTTGATTCAGAAAATTCATTGGAATTTCTTATAAAAACAAAGTTCCAAGGACATTTGAGACCAAGTAGCATTGACATGTAAATACACATGTTACAGACAGCATCAATAGTGTGAACATGGATACAGCACAAATCAGGATATGCCTTAAGTCATGTATGTGCATGAAAACTGGACTACAGCTGATGAAAACATATCCAACCACATGTAGCTGAATAAACTCTTAAGAACAAGCCAATATCTGAGCTGGAAGGGCCCACAAGGACCATAGCCCAACCCTTTCATCCAATTTATGCTTCTAACTATGGTTCCAAACATGAAGTTTCCAAACAGAGCGGTGGATAAGCAAGCAGAGAAAAAGCATTCCAGTAAACCAGTGCTTGCTTAATTCTCTTTATCTATCTAATAGGAAGATCACAACCCAAAGTCCCATTAGTGAGGGGATAAAATTATGATTCTCAAGCACTTCAAGATTTTCTGTGTTGTTAAAATACATTTCTTAGGGAAAGAATTTACCTGTGTTGACCATACGCTTTTGGATGGTTTCTTTTTTCTTTGTTATCATACCTAATGCGTTTGGCACATATAGGATATTCTGAACTGGGGTTATTTTATATGATAGAGAAGTCTTCGTTGATAGTCTTGATGAGACTGGTAGAGGGGATGGAGGTCGGATCTTTTGATTCTGCCTGCTGAGAAAAAGTAACAAACGTGTGCTTAGAACTTTTCAGTATATACTTGTAAGCAATGCAATGTATTGATGCTATAAGGTATTTGTAAACTGGAAAGTTTTATAATGGAGAAAATAAAGCTACTTCACTTTTCCCATTTGCAATTGTTTACCTTGCATGCTGTATTATTTCATTTATGAATCACTGATATGACATTTGTTCCAGTAAAATGCCTATCAGAAGTGACTACAAATAGTTTACTTACACAGCCTTCATGGGAGAGGGTGGGCGCCACCCAAGCGTGGGAGATGATGGCCATCTGTAACATGGTATCTGGGATGGTAGTTGTTTCTTGTTGGTAAAATAGAAGTTTTGTTTGTCCACTTCTAGGCTCTGAACATACCAATTTAATAAATAAATAAATTACTAACAATTATTATACTATATCTACCTTTTCAGAAGAAAGTATTTTGAATAAAATAGTCATAGTCCCTAAAACCTCCAATTTTCCTTTAATTCATGAAACTTGGATACTTTTTTTCTAGGCTAAGAAGTTTCACAATGCAAGTATAATCAGAGAAATAAATTTTTAAAATCTTCTACTTCAAAATCTAATTCCATTTATAAACCTCACTGAATGGTCCAGAACATTCCTCACAAACCTTTTTCCTCAAAATATTTCACATTAATTGCTTACCAAATCTCTGGAGTCTTCCCCCGTTAGCCTTGGGAGGTGATTTTGTGTCAAGTGTGGCATTCCTCCTCTTGCCTGAGGTGAAACTCCCACCTTCACCTCAAGGAGTACTTACACACTCAACTTGGGTGATGCTTCAATGTTCATCTAGGCTGTGCCTACTCATCTTGCCTAGTCTATGCTGATACTCACCTTGTATAGACTGAGCTTCCACACTCACCTTGAGTGATGCTTCAACATTCATCTCAGGCTGCGCTTCCACACTTGCCTCAAAGTTTAATTCCCTGCTGGTCTTAAGAGATGTTTCTATATTCCCTTCTGAGGCCGCAGCACTTGCTGAGTCCATACTTAATTCTGGTGAGGTGTCTATGCCCTCCTCAGGTGAGGCATCCATGCTGACAACAGGAGATATTTCCACACTTGCAAAGGAGGATGATCCCGTACTCAGAACAGGGGATGAATCCTTGCTCACAATGGGGGATGGTCCAACACTTGGAGAGGCATCCATATTCACTGTGGGGAATTCTTCAGCATTTGATTCAGGGTAATTTGTTGAGTTCCCATCATCGAGTACTTCAATATTCAACTTGGAGGGAACGCCCACTTTATCTTTAGAGATGTCTTCCACATTCTGGAGTGATATGTCCAGATTAGCTATTTCCACATGAGATGGTCCACCCACATGAGATGGTCCACCCATGTTTGCCTGAGAGGGTCCTTCTGTGTTCATCTTGGGTGGTGTTTCTGCAGTCACCTTTGCTGGTCTTTCCACATCTTCCTGGAGGGGTGTTTCTACTTTCTTTGTTGGTGTTATTTCTAAGTTTGTTGGAACTGGTGTTTTTACTGATGATTTACCGAACATTGCAGAAGACTTTAGCTCATCACTAGTAAACATTGGTACAGTCACATAGCGGAAAACATATTTGGTCATGCCTGTAAGTGAATGAGGACAGAAAAAAATTTCCATATCCAGGTAGCAATTTGATTAGATAAAAACACTCTGTGTACATAGTATTATAAGAATAGAAAAGTGTTATGTAAAAAAATGTTTTTAAAAAAGAGTAGAAGTTCAGTTTAGTAAGAACATTATAGGAATTTCACATAATACACTTCTCTGTTCAGTATCCATGTTAGAGTAGAACCATTACAAATTTAATATTACAGAAGTAACATCAAGAACAGAGTCCCTGTAATCACAGTGGTTTGCTACAAATGAAAATAAGCTGGCCCTGGAAGGTGGATATTTGTAGTGAAACATTTTCTATTTGAATCACATTGTATTTCAAAATCTCAACCACATTGTTAAAAGATTTATTCATTTTTATTGTATGTGCATGAGTGTTTGCCTGCATGGCCAGTGCCCTCAGAGGCCAGAAGAGAAGTTGGACCCTCTAAAACTGCATTTGCAGATATTTGTGAGCTGCCATGTGGGTGCTGATAACCTAACCTGGGTTCTCTGCAAGAGTAGCAAGTGTTCTTAACTATTGAGCCAGACCTAGAGATCTCAGTTAGGTGATTATATAAAACACTTCATACTTGATTGTTTTAGAAGAGTCAACAAAGAATATTTTCTCATTCAATATAAAAAATATGTTAAAGTCTTGCAAAATCTTGAGTGTAGGCAAAAACATTCATTTTGAGGTTTCACATACAAATAAATGGAAGAGTGATCACTAGTAACAACTGTCTTATGACTGAACTAAACTGTCATATATATGTAAAGATAAAGGCCACCACATAACACAGTAACACCAAGGGCACTATGCAGGATATATCAGAATTATTTCTCTCCTTGTGTCTCTATGGTGGAACACACACGGAGAAAAAGATGGTTCTTTACAAATTTACTTTTGCAGGTATTCCTACAGATAAAGACCTCTGGCAGGCAATGGCCATGTCCCCTGACAAAGCTTCTCTGCCAAATGCTACTTAGAATTGAATAAAACTCTCTTGTTAAAAGTGATTTTTTTATCAACATTTTACTCCAATAAATCTTTATACTTATAAAGATCCCTAGCACAAATTGCATTTCTTCCCAAATGATTTCACCTGAATCAATTAAGGCACATCCTCTGGAGTGGAATGGGTCATTACGTATATTGCTTAGATTTTATTCTTGATTTGATGTAAACTGGAGACACATGGGAAAATGGACCTTGACTAATTGCCCTCATCATGTTGTCCTATGAGCATGTGTGAGGGGCATTTTCTTGATTGCTGAGTGATATAGGGTCTGATCTCCCGAAGAAGTATATATGAGCAAGCCAGGGGAATGAGACAGTAACAGTATTCCTTTGTGGTTTGTGCTTCAAGCTCCTGCCTGAGTTCCTCCTACCTGAGCTACCTTCAACGGTGGGCTACAAACTATAAGTGAAACAACCCTTTTTCCCAAAGATGCTTTTGGTCAGTGTTTTATCATAGCAAAAAGAAGCAAACTAAGACAGTATGAAACAATGCAAGGGGAACATGAAAGGGAAGTTGTAGGGGGAGAAAAGCTGTCAGAAAGAAATCGCTTTAAAGCTGGGTGGTGGTGCTGCATTCATGAGACCCTGCCGCAAAAAAAGTAAGTCAAAGTAGATGTATCTCTGTGAGTTAAAGCCCAGCCTGATCTACAGAGTGAGTTCCAGGACAGCCAAGGCTACAGAGAAACCCTGTCTCAAAAACAAAAACAAACAAAAAGGAAAAAGGAAAAAAAAATCTCTTTAAAACTAGGTAGGCGTAATAGCTGAGGCCTGTAATGTCAGTTCTCAAGGGGCTGAGACAGTAGGATTGCCCTAAAGTTAAGGCCATCCTGGACTATGCCAGGACTACAGTGTGAGATCTATAAAATAAGAGGCAGTGGGGAGTTGGATGGGGAACTTTGAGATGGCTCAGTGAGTAAAGACACTTGCCACTAATAGACTATAGTTAGTCCCTGGAACCCACAACTTTACCAAGTTGACACCCACAAATTGTCCTCTGACCTTCACACATACATTGTAGCTTGTATGCAAACACACACACACTTATGTATTTACCAGATAAATATAAACATAAACACTTTAAAGAAATTTCAATCATAATTATGATTTTGTGCAAAAAAATCAGTGGGTAACAGAGTAAAAAAGGACAACAGAGTAAAGCTTTGCTTTAATTAGGGGCAATCTTTATAATTTTCAAATGATGTTTAAAATAAATCAAAAGTCACCCTTCAGTAAATCTATTTCTACTCATAATTTATACTAACAATGCTATATTTCCTCCGCTTTACTCTAGACTCTTTCATTTGGTTCATTCTTTTAGTACAACAAGGGATAGTTTGACTTGTAGTTTCTTTAGTGACTTCTTGAAAGCTTCTTTTATTTTGAGAATAGGATAATTGCATCATTTTCTCCTTCCCTTTTGTCCCTCCAAACCTTCCCTCCTGGCTCTTTCAGACTCATGAGCTCTTTTCATTAATTGTTGGAACATGTACATATACATATACATGTATTCCTAAATATAATCTGCTCAGTTAGTATGATACGCATATGTATGTCTTCTTGAACAACTTTTGAAACTGAGCTAAACACATTTCTTTAAGCCAGCATTTAAGATCGATACTTAGAAATAACTGCTCACCAGGCGTGCTGTCCACGTGTTCCACATCAACACTGGGATGAAATGGGTTGTCTTTTCTATTCAGCGAGGAACTTCGTTTACTGTCTGTTTTTCCTAAGCATCAAGTGCAAGGGAATATTACTATTTTAGAAACTGTTTAAGATTTCAGGAGTGGCTCACTCATTTTATTACACACTTTAAAATTCCTTTCACCTCTTTTTTCCCTTTTATTTAGATTTGAAACAAGCTTGTTTTACATGTCGATCCCAGTTCCCTCACTCTCCCATCCTCCCCTATCACCCCAACAAACCCCAACCCATCCCCTCTCTGCTCCCCAGGGAGGGTGTTGGGAAAATGGACCTTTGAGTTTTTTCAACTCCTACTTGTAAGAATTTTTAAGTTTCAAATATTATGTAGTTCACAACCCCAAACCTTAAAATTTTATTCATTATCTTATTTGAGTTGAAAATAGTTACTTAGAAAATGATGAAAATCATTAGCCGGGCATGGAAGGGCGTTGGTGGTGCACTCCTTTAATCCCAGCTCTTCAGAGGCAGAGGCAGGCGGATCTCTGTGAGTTTGTGGACAGCCTGGTCTACAAAGTGAGTTCCAGAACAGCCAAGGATACACAGAAAGACACTTGTCTCAAAAAACAAAATAAAACTGATAAAAATTATTGAGGAAAACGTGTAATATTGACACTGGCAATCTTCCTAAATTGTGAATAATATGTAATATTTAATTTTAGGCACAATCTATGATGGTGTCTAAGAATAACTGATAAATTATTCTTATATATAAATTATATTTAAATGAAAATCCATTTATATTTGGTATAGATGTCACAAGGTAATAAAACTATAAGGGAAAACAATTGGCTCTGTATAAATACTTCCCATTTTATCTGAACTATTCTAGCTCAGGAATTAGCCATTAGTTAAGCAAGAATTACTTCTCTTTAAGACTTATAAAATCAAAGCTGGGTAATGGTGGCACATGCCTTTACTCCCAAGCACTCGAGAGACAGAGGCAGGCAGATCTCTCTGGCAGTTGAAGGGCAGCCTGGTCTACAGAGTGAAATCCAGAACAGCCAGGGCTGTTACACAGAGAAACCCTGTCGCAAAAAGTCAAAGAAGACTTGTAAAATTAGGTACACATTAACACTATTGAGCCATGTGAAAATTAGTTTTTCAATGATGTACTTCAAGAAATAATACATTAGTGTTACTAGCTATTATGAGTAAGTCTCTGCCTTGCCAGTGCTGTAATTATGTGTATACTACCATACCTGGATTGTTTTTAAGTGGGTTCTGAGGAGCAAACTAGAGACTTATAGCTTACAAGGCAAGTGCTGTCCTGATGACTTAATTCTCTAGCCTTGGGCTTAGTTAATTTAAAAAAAGCCAAACAATAACAATAACAAAAAAAAAAAGCATTGGCTAAGGTGACTTTGTATTTGTTATTGTTGTGTTGATTGCAAATTTAAATAAAGTTTTCTAAGTTATAATCTGTTCTAAAATCTCATCTGTTCTGCTTTGGCAGGTGATAGGAATTTACTCTGTACAATGTTTCCATTTAGGACATAAAGACTAGATTATGTTGCAGATACTGTCAGATAACTGACAGTTAAAAATAGACATTAACGAACTTAAATTTAACAACTAGTACTGGGTGGTGGTGCCACATACCTTTAATCCCAGCGCTCAGGAGACAGAGGCTGGTAGATTTGAGTCTGAAGACAGTCTGGTCTATGGGACAGCCAGGGATACACAGAGAAACCCTGGCTCAAAACGCCACCCCCATTAACAACTATATTACTTACCAGATTTGTCAGTGTTGGTCACACCGCCCTCCCATGACCACCTCTTTTGTCGTTGATCAGCACGGTTGCATCGCTCCATTGTACGAGACACGACAGCCTTGAATTTTTCCTATTTAAAATAATTTGCCAGACCATTTTATATGGTTATTATATTACCACAATTATAAAATATTGTTTCTAAAACTAATCCCATCACTGTATTTCCTTTTCAAATAGGCAAAAGTTTAAAAAGAATTGGAGACATGCTTCTGTTTCATCAAAGAATACCAGTGCTGTCCCTGAATTACTCATTTCTTATTTTGTGGATGCTACATGAAGAAATAGACCATGTTTCCCTTTTCTCTTTTATCATCAGGAAACTCAAGAGTCAAACTTCTGCAGTGAGTGTACAGATTGAGTGGTGTACTTGTATGCATGCCAATAATACCTATACTTCACATGTTTGCCTACTTCAATTTTCACTTCTGCTTGATCTCTTAGTCATTTATTTTGCCATATGGCATAGTCTGTTTTGGAATTATCTTTGTGCGTGCATGCGTGTGTGTGTGTGTGTGTGTGTGTGTGTGTGTGTGTGTGTGTGTGTGTGAAGAAACAGGAAAAAGTGGCATGGCTGTGTAAAATCTAAGCCAAAGTTATTTATCTACTAGTTTCATATCTATAAGGACTAAATCTTGGCACTAAGTAAGAATTTTTGGTTAAGGCAAGCAGTGTGTTTATCTTGACTGCAGCTGCAACCCTAAACTGGTCAGGACAACAGCCACGCAAATCACTTGCCATATTGTGGTCGAATAAGTACAAGTTTAGAAATGAGTTCTTTGCTTGTGACTTTCACATTCCTGTACTATAATATACCATGGACTACGCTGCAGCAAGCAGAGCAACTTCAGGGTCCGAGGTTTTCTGTCATTTCCTAGCAGCACCTGTCACACAGCAATAGCATCTTAGGCTAAAGAGAAATGTGTTAGTCTATTTACCATGTCCATGTACGAGGCTGTGGATGAGCCTCACCCCAACTGGCTCTTGGAGTTGGTGCCCTTTTGTCCTCTTTTCTCCTGCCATGTCTCTGATCCCCTTTCTGTCTATACTGACATTTGCTCTTCCATTCTGTGTTTTTTCTCTCTCACCTTCGTCTTTTTCCTAGGCTGGCACTGTCTTGGACTGTCTCTGGCCACCAGGGACCCTCCCTCACTATTGTTTCCTATTACATTGGCTGATTCTCAACACTGTCTCTACTGCTTCATTCTCTAGCAGGGAATCAGCCTTCCGGACGAGACCTGTCAGAGAAATGGGTTGGTAGGTTTGGGGTCTTTATGCAGGTGTTAGGGAATAATGTGGAGCTAACCCCAAACCAAGGTACACTGTGAATTGCATATAAAGGCCAACAGTTTCTGGACCTTCATGCCTCTTCTTTCTTCCCTGAAATGAGTGTTTAAGCACTTGGACTGAGGGTAAGGAAAAGAGAAAAAAAAATAGGAAAACAGTAGGTTGATCCCTTCCTTTCTACCGGGCCAGTAAGTACAGAAAAGGGCTAACCAATATTTCAGATACACACAATGCCAACACTAAACGAACAGACTCTGAAGTTCGTACTTTGTCTTCCGCCTGTTTCTGTTTTCTTTTTTCTTCTGCAGATACTCGGCGTCGCTCGTCCTTTTCCTTTTGTTCTTTCAGTTTGCGGTGTCTTTCTTCCAACTGTTTTTCGTACTGCAGCTTAGCCTTTTGTTCCTTCGCAAGCAGTTGTTTTTCCTTGTTGGCTGAAATATTCCAAGTACATTTTCATAGTGTTAAAGCCAAGGCAAGTTTTCCACATTAAACACAAAGGAGGAAAAGAATGTTGAGCTATCTCATTATTATTCTTAAGACAACATAACCTGGTCCAGTAAATAACATGTACAGCTCATGTGTATAAACATACGTGGCCACTAAAGAACCACTTTTCACAAGGTGTTCACTGAACTGTGAAGAACTGGCATTTCTAAGCCAGCTGACTCTTGGCCAATCCAAACTAAAATTCCGAAGTAGGAAGAAATGTTTTCTTTCATGCCGTATCTTTGCTTGTTTGAGCTAAAATCAAACTATCAGGAAAACATGGTGTGTTTTAAAATATAAATTAAAGAACACATGACTGGGATCTATGTTTTGCTTCATTCTATTCTGAATCTTCCTTCAAAGTCCTCCTTTCTCCAGATGCTATTAAACAGGCAGGTGATACATGAATAGACTCAGAGGTCTACCCACTATGGAAGGGCATGCTTTACTCTATTCAGGTTTTCTCTGGCTGCAACTGGAGGATTGATATCTACACAGTTATAAAATACTCTCCCTAACATTACTATCTATGCTGTTACAATGATAATCACTTGGAGCATTCCACTTGCATAAATTTGAGCATTTACTTTGTCAGCTGATTTAGATCAAAAAAGAAATACATAGAGTTGCAAAGCATGCTCCCAAGTTTTTATAAGTCTTCATTTATACCACGTCCCATTTGCATTGCAATCTCATCCTGCTTGTTCGCACTATTGTTGAAGAAAGTTCTAGGCCTCAGTTTTCAGATAACCGAAGCTACACCTTCAATGATTAATTTGGTTACAGGTTTTTCATGGACCTTCTTGGTATGGGTTAGCAAATGAACTTAATATATTTTACATAATAAAAATTATAAGCTGTCATATAAACAGGTTAAGCAAAGTTATTAAAACAAAGTCAGAAATATATAGCCTATATGTAAAGGGAATTATCTAACATGCATACCCTCTTGCTGACGTTTCCGTTCTTCTCTGCGTTCTTTGGCTAATTGCTGCTTGATGTCATTTTTAAGGACAGAGCCATCTAAAACTACAAAAAAAATTACCCATTAGTATATAAATTTTTTATTTAATTAGGTTTTCTGAGACAAGACTTCTCTGTATAGCCTTGGCTGTTCAGGAATTCACTCAGTAGACCAGGCTGGCTTCGAACTCACAGAGATCTGCCTGCCTCTGCCTTCTGCGTGTTGGGACTAAAGGCGTGCATCACCACCACCCAGCTTATGGCATCAAATTTCATTTCAAAGCTACATCATTGATATATCAACACATCTTTGAAAGTATACCAGGTGTACATGACGATCTCTTAGTAGTAACTGCAGAAGAATCAATACCACGTTTACGTCGCCGTTCTTCGGCTAGTTCTTGAGCCACGGCAACTAAAACACAGGGAGATAAGGGAAAAAAAGCCTTAGATATTAACAGTTAATACAAGGACAGCAAACTACAACCATTTGTCATTGATGGTAAAAGAACAGATCATTTCTATGAAGTGCAAACATTATTGTTTAATCTTGGTCAGCAAAAGATGGGTTACGTACTTATGATGCTCAATAACACTTTAGTACAAAGTTGCAAGCGAATGGTACTTGTGGACATAAAGACAATTCCAGTTGTGGATGACAGTGGCAGTACAAAAGCTTGTAGATAAGTGACAGGTCAGTAATGAATGGCTTTAAAATGCGCCACACAAAACACTACACCTTTTTTTTTTTTTTAAAGAGTTTGCAAGAAATTGAGGGGAATATTTTCTGTCAAAATAAGAAATTAAGATTTGGGGCGGGAGAGGTGACTCTGCTTTTGAGCACTCCCTGCCCTCGCAGCGGACTTGGTTCAGTTGTGAGCACTTACTTGGTACCTGACATCCCTCTTAAAACTCACAGTTCCAGGAGCCCTGATGCCCTCTTCTAGCCTTCACAGGCACTGAGGCAAAACATTTACACATGTAAAATCAAAATCTTTTAAAAATTAGGAATTTAAAGATCTACTAACAGATACTCAGAGATGGAGTCAAATATTATAAGACATTTATAAATTACTCACATCAGGCACTTTCTAGGCTATTTATACACTAGTTGCCTACGTGTATAACAAGCCCGAACCTCCTCTATGTGAGTGAAACTCAAGCACTTGGAACTGTTTAAAAAGTATCTCATTTTCTTTCTTTCTCTTTCTTTCCTTCCTTCCTTCCTCTTTCTTCTTTCTTTTCTCTGTGATGATTGGGATTGAACTCAGGGCCTCTAATATATATGCTAAGCAATGTACCCTTCCCCCATGGAGCCACACCCCCATGTCCTCAGCACCCCTAAGGCTCCATTCAAATGCATTATGAAGAGACAAGGACAGTCACAAAAACATGTAAGGCAAATACATATAAATTGTGTATGCTTTCTGACAGAAATATGCTTTCTGTCAGCATACAGAAAAGTGGTAAGCATCAATAAGGTCCTACGTGTGTAACTTGAGGAAAAGAGAGTACATTACCATGGATTCTGATAGCTGGGAAACCAGCATAGAACCGACCAGGATTCCCTGAATGTGGTGTTAGTTGGGAAAACTGGGCAATCTATGGGGTCTCTGATAGTGGAACAGTATTTATCCCTAGTATAGGAATGGATTTTGGGAGCCCATTCCACATAGATGGATACTGTCTCAGCCTAGACACATGGGGGAGGGCCTGGGCCCTGATCTAAATGATGTGACAGAGTTTGAAGATCCCCATGGAAGGACTCACCCTCCCTGGAGAGCAGAAAGGGGATGGGATGGGGGTTGGGGGTGGACAGGGAAGGAGGGGAGGGTGCAGGAACTTGGATTCATATGTAAAACAAGCTTGTTTCTAATGAAATAAAAACTATATATATATATATATATATATATATATATATTCTAGAGGATCCCTGAACCTTGAATTCCATGGCCAGCTGCATCCAAAATTACCCCACAATCCTGGTAAAGGGCCTGGAGAAGACTGAAAACTGGGTGGTTTATTTTTATTTTATTTATTTATTGACTTTTCAGGGCATGGTTCTGCCTTTCAGGACAGCTCTGCCTGTCCTGAAACTTGCTCTGTAGGCCAGGATGGCCTTGAAATCACAGAGATCCATCTGCCTCTGTCTCCCAAGTTATGGGATTCAAGGTGTGTGCCACCACTGCCCAGTTAAGTGAAAAAAGCCCAGCAAGTATGATCCAGGTCATACTTCGCAGGTCTGCTTATTAACTATTAAGAGAGTTATGACAGTTCAAAACAGCTAAAATAACTAAGATGCTAGAGAGATTGCCCTAGTGCTCACAGAGTGAATGGGTTCTGTGATGTTGGCTGCATTGCAGAAAAGCTATCTGGGAAGCATTTTAAAAGGTACCCTTGAAAGTAACCCTGCTACTGTTGCCATAGGGATCATCAGTTCAGAGAAGAAAAAGGATTTGGTTGTAAGGCCCAGGGACCTAACAGCTCAGATAAACTATGACCTAGTTAAACTTAAAGATTAGATTCTTCTCCGACTTACTCATAATTCAACTACTGGCATTTTTGTGCACACATCATTTCTAAATAGCATACTACCACACATTCTTTTTAATCTGTTTTGTAAAGAAGAAAATGTTTTAAAAACTTTCTTTGGTTTGCAACAGTTGGTTCCAGGAGAACAAATGGCTACTGAAAACCTACAGAAAAAGACTGGTAAGAAACTACTGCAATCTTTGTACCCAGAAGCCGCAATGGTTAAGAGCACATTTCCAAGCAGACTGTACAATCCTAAATATTAACACAAATACCAAGCTGTCCAATACAGCACACATTCAAACTGTAGAAGCTGCTCAGGATTTGTGAGTCTGGGATTCTGGCTGCTAGACTAACTTGAAGGTTTCCCCAGCTCCAAAAGGCTGATCATCTGGCTCTCAGCCTTATTAGCTTTGCCTGCATTTCTAGGGCTCAATCTGAGCATGCTGTATTCAACTGAGAACTAACTTGAAGGTTTCCCCAGCTCCAAAAGGCTGATCATCTGGCTCTCAGCCTTATTAGCTTTGCCTGCATTTCTAGGGCTCAATCTGAGCATGCTGTATTCAACTGAGAAACCATGTGTGAATTTAAACAAACAAGAAACGAAAAGTGACAATTCCAAAGGTTTTCATGATAAGCTGGCTGAACAGTTTTAATTCAAAACAATTGTGTAGAATTGTATGACACATATTCTGTGAAAACAAGTACAGTTCTTTAGTGTACAGCATTAGTGTACAGCATTAGCATACTGAAATGTGTAACTCACTAAGCACATGTAGGCACATCTGATGTGTGTTCATACATACATTTACAAAATACACGTATGTAAATTGTACTGTTCACCCAGAAGTTATTTGTTCAGAGCACCCTTTTAACTCATGCAGTTAGCATTCCAGCAGGAGATAAAATTGACCTTTTAGAATAAACATTTCACTGTATCTCCTTTACTCCTACAGAAAATGCTGGGAGCTGGAGGGCAGTTAAACCGGTGCTTTGTGCAAATCCAACCTGGTGTTTTCAACCTAATGTTCAAGAGGCAGCTAGGATGTAAACAACGGATCAGGATTAAATCCCCCCTCCCTTTTTTTGCATGGCTTAAAGGGATTTCTTTCTTTTTTTTTTCTTTTAGTTTGAATTGCTTTAAATGCAAACAACTGCCTCATAATTTTAACTGTTTTCCAACATTCAATAAACAATGTTGGGGGTATCAGGCTGGAGCTCCTTCAATACATTAGACTACATGCTAACTAATTTCAATTACTTTAGACTAATACCAGGGAGCTATAAATGTCAATAAACAGTATAGTAATTGATTGCAAACTCTCTAGAGTCTACAATAAGCTAGAGGCTCAAGGAGTATTACTTTGCCCCTATGGAATGGTAAAAGTGTACTTGCTTCTGACACGTTTCAGAAAGTTGATGCAAAGTGTTCTTCAGTAACACATGGTCTTTGAATCTCAGCCAATCTAAATTAACCTTTTAATTACAACGTAAAACTCCCAAAGGATTTCAGTAGTAATCAAAAGCATTTTATTTACAGGCATATCTGGGGAAAACAGATTGTTAGCAAGCCGAAAGCAAGCATCAAGGAATACTGCCTTTTCACACAATTTCCTGAATTAAGCAGATGCTGCCAAAGTTGTTCAGAATAACACAACCCGCCAGCTTTCCCTCTCCCCAACGGAAAAAGTTTTGGTTATAGGACTTGTTGAAGAGAAAGCATTGCTAAGTGCAGATACTCATTCAGTCCAGCCTAGGGACAAAGTCACGTGCTATTGCAGGGCAACTTTGCAGACAATCAGTTTCTTCCTAACTTTCTAAGCCCTAAGTCCCAGTTCCCTCCTCCCTTGACCTTGACCTGGAAAGTACCAACATCTTGGGATACAGAGCAACCCCAAACTTCCTGATCCTGGCAGGACCACCCCGACTGCAGCTATGCCCAGCACGAACCGGCACCCACTCATCCCTGCGTTTTTCTGCAGTTGCACGGGTGTCGCTGGTCCCTGAGGGCAGGCGGGGCCGGAGCCTAGGTTCGATGGCACCTGCCCTGGAATGGCCGTTGGGCCGTTGACATCACAGTTCAGCCATTTCTCCTTCACGTCCCGGTCCTCCGATTTTTATAGTCCCATCCCAGGGTGTTTAGAGAGATGAGGGGACCACAGACCAGATGGGACGAGGGGGACTCCCCCCAGAAAAGTTGCCCAGCCCTGCCATTCTGCTGACTCTTGGGACGACAGTAACCCCACTGTCCCTGAGGGTCGCTATCCCCCTGGGGGATACCTAGCCCACTCACCCAAGCGTTCTCGTAGACCCCGCAAAGATGTATTGCCACTGGTACCCGCAAAAGCATAGTCGGCCATCTTCGGAGCTGAGTTGAGAACCACTGGTGGTTCTTGGGCGGCAAGGCGCAGGCGCCGCCTCTGCCTCCGCTGGGGCCCTGGCTGGGACCCCGGGGGGCGGGGCGGGGCGGGGCTCGGGGACTCCCCGCTCCGCCCTGAGACCCTCAATTTAGGCAGCATTAGTTCTCACATGCCATGTCGCTACACCAGCTGGACAGCGACTAACTTTGTCTGAAGAAACCGTTTCTTATATTCGAGGTTCTATCGTGATGCGTTCTGGACACCAGCCAATCAGCTGCCTACTTGGCCACTGAACGTTCTTTTCCTCTTGTCACCTCTACCTAAGAACATAGTTCCATATTTCCCCATCCTTAAGATCATTTGGATCGTTTGCCAGGCATCTTGCTGTTCTATGAGTTTACTATCTTTGACCACTGCATGAAAAGCCCGGTTTTGGGGAGAGGGGATGGGAGGAGATAATAGATAATGTGCCACCTGACACATGGTTGTGGAAAGGCAGGTTATGGTTATGGTAGCAGGTAGGGTTCAAGAGCCCCTATAGGATGAGCACTTCGATGAGCTCACTGAGTCTTCAAATGTTGTTTCAACTATAACCTGAGAGTGTTTACCCATATTAAGACTATAACGCGACACTTATCATTAGTCCCCCTACTATCCTATGAAGTACGTACTACTACTGTCCCCATCATACAGATGAGGAAACTAAAGAGAAAATGAAAATCATTTGTCTAATGTCACACAGTAAGCGACAGTATTGGAATTTGGACCCTAAGCATGTCATTAGAGGAACTGTGTGCTTTTATTCTTCTATGGGATATTTCATGAGAATGAAGAGAAATGGAGCAGGGTAGTGGTGGCACATGCCTTTGATCCCAGCACTTGGGAGGCCGAGGAAGACAGATCTCTGTGAGTTCAAGGCCAGCCTGGTCTACACAGCTAGTTCCAGGTTCCAGGACAGCCAGGGCAGTTATACAGAGAAACTCTGTCTCAAGACACAAAACAAACAAACAAGAACTAAAAGACGTAAGTAGGCCTCTTCAAAGGACAAAAAACACAAATAGCCACTAAGCATTAAAACAACTGTTTAAACTCTCCAACACTCAAGACAAATGATAGCTACCACAAAACAGCACACACACACACACACACACACACACACACACACAATCACACAGTGGACAATAAGTACTGAGGGGAATGAAATTGATTATAGCATCAAAGACCTTCTCAGCAAGTACAGCATTTTGCACTAGATCCATGACGGTAGCCATGATTATTAGTATGACACACCTATGTTGGGGACATTAGTAAAGCACACACACACAGAGATACACACACACACACACACACACACACACACACACACACACACACGTACACAGACAGACAATCTGGCAAAACATTGAAAGTATCTTTGACATTTCTTATTTTTAAAAGTTCAAACCCAAATCTAGCAATGAAGGACCATTCATACAAATCTAGGCTGACATAAGATATAATGAAAGACTGCAAAATTTGGGTGTTATTCTGGATCACAAGAGGCTAAAGAGACCAAATACAATGTATGAACAATGCTGAGGACCTGGATTCAAGTATAGCTTTCAAGGTACTCATTATAGAGCTGGAGATACAGCACAGCTTTGTGGTAGTTCTTCTTGTCTAACATGCATGAATGTTCATTCCCAGCACTGAACACAAAAGGGCATTCATAATTGAGACAATTGGGAAACGTTGGCTATAAATTGTATAAGAAATAACACTAACAAGATCAAATTTCTTGGTTGTGAAAATAACATTGTAGCCATAAAGAAAAGCCCCCTTTTCTTAAAAAAGAAATGCTGAAGAATTTAGGGGTGACAATTCAATGTCAGATACATACTAGCAAGAATTAGGGAAAAACACAAATACTATAAAATGTAAATGTAAAGAAAGAAGTCTATTCAGATCTATGTAGTTAAAGTTAAGTTTTCCTATTCTTTCAACTCCTCTATAGGTATGCTTTTTTTTGTTGTTTGTTTTTTCTTTTGTTTTGTTTTGTCTTTTGAGACAGGGTTTCCCTGTATGGCTTTGGAGCCTGAGCTGAAACTTGCTTTGTAGACCAGGTTGGCCTTGAACTCACAGAGATCCACCTGCCTCTGCTTCCCAAATGCTGGGATTAAAGGAGTGCACCACCACCACCCATCCTATAGGTTTGCTTCTTTAATTTTTTTTTAGATTTTCTTTTTTAAAGCATTTTATTTATTTTTATGTGCACATTTGTCTGTAGGAGTGTCTTGGATCCCCTGGAACTAGAGTTATAGACAGTTGTGAGCTGCCATGTGGCTGCTAGGAATTGAACTTGGGTCTTCAGAAAGAAAAGCCAGTGCTCTTAACCACCAAGCTTTCTGTCCAGTCCAGGTTTTCTTTTTCTTTTTCTTAATCTAGAGACTGACTCCAGCTTCCTTTTCCTAGTCACTACTTTGAAATTGGAAATTGCATGTAGAGCAGCACAATAGATGATCTTCCAGTGTTTACAGCCTCTTGAGGCCTTAAGCTAGCCAGGATGCTGAAAGGCAGGAAACACAAGATATTTGCAAAGAGCCAACAGCAGAGACTGTGTGAAGAGCTAGTTGGATAACTCAAATGGATTCTAAGAGGCCAGCTGGATGAGAAAGTAGCAGCGACTGGGGTAACCAAAGGTAGCTTTTGGTCCTGAGGTTGGGATAGAAGGTAAACATGTCTTCATTGGAGCCCATGGTACTGAGTGAGAGATGGGTTCAAATGTGCCCCAGTCTCCCCAGTTTTTAAACTAATCTAGAGAATCTGCTTTTTTAAAATCAGACAGGATTTCTGTGTGTAACAACAACCCTAGTTCTGTTTGATTTGTAGACAAGACTGTCCTCAAACTCACAGAGATCCACCTGCCTCTGCCTCCCAAGTGTTGGGTTTAAAGGTGTGTGCCACCATTGCCTTGCCTGGAATCTTGATTTTAATGCAAAAAAACAAAAACAAAAAACACCCTTATTTATTTTTAAGTATCTGTTTATTTTTATGCGTATGAGGATTTTTTTCTGTGTATATGTCTGTTTACCATGTTTGTGTGGAGCTTGCAAAGGCCAGAAAGAAGATATTGGGTCCTTGGGACTGGAGTTACAGACTACTCAGTGAGCTGCCATGTGGATGATGGAAATCAAACTCTGGTCCTCTGGAAGAGCAGAAAGTGCTCTCCAAGCCCTGAATCTCTTATTTTAAAATGATGACATTCACAGTTTTTCAAAACATTCCAGGGTACATAAAGTTATCTAATGTTGTAAGTGGTGTTCAGAATTTCCAATTGTCTCATTAATGTTTGACTAGAAATTCAAACAAGGTCTTTATGTTTCCTGAATTAATATGCCTCTACCTTTTTTCCCCCTTGAGACAGGATCTCATTTTGCAGTCCAGGATGCAACTGAATTCATGATCCTTCTGCTTCCTCCTTTTCAGTACTGGGATTATAGCTGTGTGCCGCCATGCATGACGCTGATATGCTTTTAAAGCACCTTTAAATCCATAGCTAACCTTTTGCTGTAACATCTTTGATAGACTGCTGTGAAATATAACTTGCATGTAGTGAGGTAAGTCATTCGGTTATACTTTTACTGACCACCTACTCTGCCTATAAAAGAGATCTAGAGGCGAGGAAGGAAGCCCTTCCCTCCAGGGTCTACAAATCTCAAACTGACTCCAGCTAATGATTCATTCCTTGAGGCTAGAGCGGTTCCCAACGGAGCCCCAACTATGCTGTACATTTCTCAGAAAAAGATTGGAACTGAAGGCTGCCAGCTTAAGGAGAGCAAAGTTTATTTGGGAGCCAAAACAGACTCAGAACTGGCAAAGAACCCTGGCAGGGCCTCTCCTCTCTTCCCTGAATTTGGAAAGTATATATTCCCTTGTGAGCAGAAGAGAACTGGAATCCTTCTAATTTTTAGTCTCTTACTTGGCTATTTCTTCTTTAATCTTGCATTAGCAGGAAATACATTCAAAAAGCCACAACCATGATACGCCTAAGAATTGTTGTTTTTCCCCCAATTAAAGATGAAGCTTTTAAAAAAATTACTTCACATTGAATAAATATCCAGAAGAACTTACTGACTATGACACATTTGCATTGAAGCTGCCACAAGCTCAGCCCTGTCCCATGACTGGTAAGCTTTACCCGAGATGTGCTGGCACTTTCTAGCCATCCTAATTACCTGTTAGCTTCAGCTTTCACATCTACAGTAGGGACCAGGCTCTGCTTTTGCATTCTTTCCTCTTTCATCTCTGACTCTTGCCCTAAATCAGATGCATAGTAAATGATACTTCATTCTGGCCTTGTCTTTTGCCCCACATGCTCCCTGGCTCTTGCCTTTGCCCAAATCTATCCATATTACCTTGCTGCCTGTGTTACAAACCTACTTCTGGATGTGGACAATTTCCACTTTTTGATGGCAGTCTTCTTGGTCCCAGAATCCCAACAGTAACTGTAGCCCCTATCTTCACCTGACCCTTCAGATCCCTGTCCTCTTTACAGGGATGGCCAGAGGGACCTTGCTTTCCATTTTCAGCCAACTCTTCTGTGCCATTGCATTTTAGAAAGTGTCCAGACTTTCCTGAAATGAGGGGCTGATGTTCATCACCCAAGCTCATCGGGGAAAACAAAAACCAAAAAATGAAGTTAGGGGAAGGGGAAGAAGTGATCATTAGGCCCATCAATGGCAAATGGAAATTAAAAGCTCAGAGAGAAAGGGTGTGTGGCAGCAGTGAACATTTGCTTGAGCTGTAGGTATACTTACCAGGAGCTAGCAAATGCTGCCATTTGTGAAGTACTCAATGACAGGCACAGTGCTACATGTTTGCTATGCATTATTTCTCATAATCCATACAACAACTTTAGGAGCTTCCATCATCATCCCTAGCTTACACACAAGGAAGCAAGCACAGAAGAATAACTTTAGCACTGAAATGGCAAGGTCAAGATTGAAATCTATTTATCTGTTTCTAGGATTAGAATTCCTAGTTCCAAGCCTCCTAATTTCTCAGTTGTTAAGTCCTAGGGTACACTTGTTTCCTAACCCACGCTTTCCACTTTTGTCTTGATCCAGTCCTCACACTGGGTC